TCTAGGGTTTGTTTAGAGGGAGTGCCAAACCAGAGGTTAAATGCAATTTAACACGTTCTCTAAAATGCAATGGACATATTGTTGTATTAATTTTAAGGAGAAAAAAAAGGCAGTTTGGCTTCCTACTTGATAGTAGATTTGTTTGCTCTTAACATACTCATTCCCACACCGTGGTAGGAATTATGAATAAAATTTCTGGGATTGTCTTTGGATTTGGCAAGCAGTGTCAGGATTCTTTAAAAGAAATTGTTTGGGATTTTTAAAATATAAGAAAAAAGTTCTGTTGCTCATATATTTCTGCTTGTTAACTAAAAGTAGTGCTTTCTGAACAATCTATTTTTAGCTTTTATTTCGAATTGACTTTAGATATATGGGAGATTGCAAAGAAATATACAGGAACATCCCATGCATCCCTCCCACCAGCCCCATGAAAAATCCATTTTGACTCTTTTTTCTATGAAAGGAGGAAATAAGCTTAAGAACAAAAAATGGGCTGCTTCAGGTCTAGCCCAAAGGCACAGTAGAGACCTGAGTACTGGACCCCTACCCTCGGTGTAGCTTCTTTGTTTCATTTGCCCCAAAATGGGCGGCTACCGGCAGGGGGCGCGGCAGGCAAGGACATCAGACGCTGACTTTCTAGCCACTCATCGCTTTCTTTTAAAAGCTTCCTCCTTTCCCATCTCAAAGTTCAAAGTGACTGGGTTTAGGGTAAGGATGCGGTGAGGCTTGAATGTGGGTTGTGTGGTTGAGCCACTGAAAAACGTTTTAGGTTTTGCCCTATACTTCACCAGTACTCTAGCCCTTATCTTTCTAGGAGAGAACTTTCTCCACCCTCTTTTTGAATTAAGGACTTCTCATCCACATGAAGGTGGTGGGGAGGAGGTAATCAATTTAAGATCACATACAAGAAAAAAGTCACTTAGGTTGTTTTGGGAGATGAGGGGGAAAGATATATAAAAGTTTAAAGTCACTTATTTCAAATTAAGCACATAGAGTTATGTTAAAGGAGCACAGAACTATTGGAAATTGTACTTCGATTCTATACTTTTTCTGGTTGAGGAGCGAGATGAAAGAGAAGAAAGTAAATCCCAGATGCCGAGGGAAAAAAGAAAGGCAAAGAGGGAATGAAGAGAGGCAGAGTCTTATTACCCTTAGCTTAGAGGTAGACTTTCTAGAAGGATTTTGAGGTTTAGGTCAGCTAATGTCCCACTTGGACAGTAAGTACAGAAGCTGAAGCACACAGGGCAACAGACCAGTGTTATGTATAACAGCAAACTACTTCTCAGTTTGCTTATGGAAGTCCTCTATCTTCACGCAGATGCCAACGAATATGTTATGGGCCACTCACCAGCCCTGGCTACAACCCTTAACACCTTGCCAATCTTCACCACCTCCCTTCCCCCTCAACAACTAGTTCAATGTATTGGCTTCTCCACTGTCACTGGGCGAGTCAACTGCAGGGTATAACCAAGTTTTCTCAATTCTTTGGCTTCCTTTGGCTACTCTTGACTCCCCATGCAGCCCTAGGGCCATGTTTATTTGTTGAATGGTTAACTACTTTAACATTGCTATTATCAACAACCTCTAACCCTCTACCATTCCCAAGCAGACCTCACCTGGCAAGTAGTTAGAAATGCAGAATCATGGGCTTTGCTTCTGACCCTCGTGAATCAGAATCCGCACATTAGCACAATCCCCTGGTCATTCTCAGAAGCACTGCTGGCCTACCTGGCTCTCAGCCTTTTCATTCCAGATTGCCACGTCACCTGCCAGCAACCATACTTCAATCATCTTGAGACTCAGGGCTCCTTCATAATCCTTGTATTGATTTTTTTAATTTAATATACTCCAAAAATAGCTCTTCAACCCCCCTTTCCACTCTTTAGCTCCTCACTCCTGTTTTTTTCTCCTCCCATTCCTACCCCCTCTCTCCCTGCCTTAACTTTGCAGAGATCAAATGACCTTGCTGTGCTCATGTGTGTTTCCTTCTAGGCTTCAGTATGTCTCTGGTCTTCTACCACCCTCTATTCTTTTCTCCAGTCCAGATGAAGTAGTATCTTATTTCTAACGCAGTTCTTCTGCCTCTGCCTTTTGCATATTTTCCTATTCTCCTCTTCTGGGATCTTGCTGTCTTACTGGTCTTCTTTTTCCCAGAATCATGTACGTTGTTTCCGTGAAGCCCTTCCTTTTTGGATCCAAATGTGCAGAGCTCTTCTATTAAGAAAATCACAACAGGGCGCCTGGGTGGCTCAGTTGGTTAAGCGACTGCCTTCGGCTCAGGTCATGATCCTGGAGTCCCTGAATCGAGTCCCGCATCGGGCTCCCTGCTCGGCGGGGCGTCTCCTTCTCCCTCTGACCCTCCCCCCTCTCATGTGCTTTCTCTCTCTCTCATTCTCTCTCTCTCTCAAATAAATAAATAAAATCTTTAAAAAAAATAAAAAATAAATAAAAAGAAAATCACAACATACACACACATTCACATTCACTTGATCCTACTCCCTTGTGGTTTATGTTCTGTTTCTCCTCTTTCAGAATCCGATTTTTCCAACAAATGGTATAGAACAGTGGTTTATAATTGAGACAGCTTTGCCTCTACCCCCCTCTTCCGGGACATGTGGCAATATCTGGAAACTTGTTTGGTTGCTGCAACTGGGGGAGATGCTACTGGCATCTAGAAGTGGACAGAGACCAAGGGCGCTACTAAACATGCTACAATGCACAAGACAGCCCCGCACGACAAAGAATTATCTGGCTAGGCAGATCCTCTTGGTTTGCCTTTGACTTTCTTGGGTTATCACACTGAAAATCCTATGTACCAGGAAACCCCTCAGTCCTGGGTTACTGAGATGCTTGGTCACCTTTTATCTGGCCCCCAATGTCAAAAGTGCCAAAGTTAAGAAGTCTTGCTCTAGAAGGAGGATCCATTGACCTTACTTTTTTCTCACCAATGCCCTTCCCTTCAACCTGACATTTAGTTTCTGTGTTCTTTTCTATGAAAACAGTTCTCTTGAAGGACACCAGTGGTCACCTTCCAATCAAGAAATACAATGGCCTTGGACGCCTGGGTGGCTCATCTGTTAAGCGTCTGCCTTTGGCTCAGGTCATGATCCCAGGATCCTGGGATCGAGTCCTACATCGGGCTCCTTGCTCCGTGGGGAGCCTGCTTCTCCCTCTGCCTGACGCTCCCTCCTGCTTGTGCTTTCTCTCTCTCTCTGACAAATAAAATCTTAAAAAAAAAAAAAAGAAAGAAATACAATGGCCCTTTTTCCTCCTCCCTCAACCTTTCTGATCCTTTTCAAGCATTTTGACACTGTTGCTTTACTGTCGTTTTGGAGCCTCTTTTTTTCATACTTTTGGTTCTCTCCCTCCTACTCCCATTATTGGGCCTTCTCGCTTTTGGGGGTCCCTATTTCTACTGTTTCTTAATTGTAGATAGCCCCATAGTTCAGTGTTTCTTGGCTCTCTTTCTATTTCTCCTACTGAAGAATTTATGCCACTCCTTAGCTTCAGATCTCCTCTGTATTAGTTGATTCCCAAATCTCTTTCCTGAGTCCTCGTCTTTCATTTCCAAGTAATCGAGTGATGTTCAGCAGAATCTAAAACTCTAACATGAGTAATAGCAGGTTAAGAACATTTATTTAAGACGTTAGCAAGGAGGAAAGACAATACAGTCTAGCTTATATTTCTGATCTGTCTTCAACTCTGGTCTGATATAACTCAAACTCTATCCAACCAGGATAACATACCTTGTGCTTTCCTCCTTCCATGGTTTTGCTCCATGTCTTTGTGCTTTTGGAAAACATTTCTGCCCTTTCCTTCTTCAAATCTTCCTATCATTCCAATCAGGAAAATGTGGAATGATGAAAATGCTGGATTAGGAGTCAGAAGACCTATTTTGGTCATTCTA